TACAAACCACCAACAAAAATCACCCAAAATTATGACTAAGCAACATATCAAAGGAGGAAGAAACAACCCAAAAATCACCTGGAACACTTCATCATCGCTATTGCAAAGTCGCGTGCAACGGCAACATTGCCACTACTCACGATGGCTTTGCACAGCACCATTGTGTAGCGACACTTTATAGAGCCGCGTGCGGCACTGTTTATAGTCACATCACACGACTTCCTATGCCCTGCGCAGCGACTATGATATGTGAAGACGGTGGCACTATTTATTGTCGTTGCACAGATCATCGTCGCCACCGTCTTCTCTGCATAGCGTTTCTGTCTTTCGATAACGGTGATCTTTATTGTGCAAAGGAGGGAGGAGAGAGAAAGAGAGACAAATAATTAGGTTTGGAAATGAAATTCGATAGGGTAGATGGAATGGGGCGTGGTATGGTGACTATTTAGATTTAACTTAATTTTTAATATAATTATTAATATTAAAATTTTGAATTTTCGATTATTTTTGAATAAAAAACTTTTGTATCAGATTTTGAATTAGAAATGTTAAAAACATGCGTGGGGTATAATTTTCAATTATGTAAATTGTTATGTATGCAGCATAGCCCAATGAGAAATGACTGTGATATGGAAGAGGTTGATTTTACAGATAACTTCTAATGTGTACGGGGGATTTTTACAGAAGAGATTGAAATATCCCAATTTCAAAATATTGTTTCAAATTATAAATGCGGTTGTGCTACATGCACATGAAGTGATGAGATATTGGGTCAGAATTTCTTCAACCAAATAAAAAAAATTCCCCACCTTATTTTTGGCACATCATCTGTATATAAATCATTTTGTAACTGTTTATATACAAGTAACATTATATTTATAATATATCTTGTGTTTATATTTCAATTTTTTGCTATATTCTCAACTATGGATTATGTATCACCATATTTATTGTGGAAATTACACCAAGGCTGATTTTTAAAGATTGTTATTCAAAATGAGATACAAAGTTTATTTATTCATAAATCAGATAATAATTCAACTATAAATTAATGACCTCACCCAATTCCATCCAACCTACCCAATTTAATCCAAACCCGAACATTTTGTTTATCTCTTTTCCTCACCCATCTTCCCTCCTCTCTCACACGATCGACTGATTACCTCTCTCCCTTCTCTTTCTCTATTGTTACCGTTGTCGGAAGATCAGGACGAACAACACTCGCTGTTTGCGACGCTGCATCATAGCTCTGTTACGCAGTGACAATGACACCGTGTGTATGACGGTGTCGGCTGAACAACATTGCGATGCTACCTCGCTGAAGCTCCACTACACGTTGCGACGCTACTTTGCAGTAGCCTGTTCTGGTGTTGATAGCAGCACCGCGAGCGCTAGCATCGAACGACTGCAATTGGTAGAGTTGCTCGATGTTGGTAACGGTAAAGTTACACGTCGTTGGGAACTGTAGAATAGCCCGACAGCGTTGCCCGGCGACAACAAAGTGACGATGATGCCAGTGGCCAAAGAGAAAAAGGGGAAAATTAGGGTTTGTATAATGATTGGGGATGGGGGCCTCTAGTGTAATTTTTTACATTATAGGCCCCTGCTTGCAATTTCAAATTGGGAGTCAGTTTACAAATGACGACGGTGGCGGTGCAGTAGGTTGTAGTAGTGGCGACGAGGGTCTGTGACCAATTATTTTAGTAATTGTTACCTCTAAATTTGTTAATTTGTGATGGTTGTGTTGTTGGCACGGGTGGTGGTGAGCTGTGATTCGTTAATTTGTGACCAATAAATAATGTGTAACTTAAAAATTGAGTCATTTATAAAATTTATGATTTGTGATCAAAGAATAAATTGTGACCTATAAAATTTATGATTTGTGATCAATTAATTCTATAATTTGTGATCAAATTATATATAATTATGATTTTAATATATGTAATTAATAAAATATACTTTTAATTAATTATTTCATAAAAAATTTAATAATATCTGATTTTTGAAATTTTAAAACTCATTTCTTAGTTTTGAAATGGATTATACTTAACCTTTTATATATGAAATTTTCCCATATTTTAAAATTTTGGTCCACTTAGTGGTGTCAATGAGCCGAGCCCGATAAAAAAAATAAGGCTCGGTCCAAGCTTTTAACCCGAGCCTTAGCAGGTCAAGTCCAGCCGGCTCTATTTTTTTGAATTTTTTTTTTAAAGGCTGCCTGCAAAGGCAACTTGCTGCCTGCAAAGGTAGCAAGCTGTTTTGAAAAAAATTAATTTCAATTTTTTTTTTAAATATTAATGGGCAGGCTCGCCCGAGTCGGCCCGGGTTTGAGCCAACGCCTCAAAATGGGGCTAGGTGTAACTGAGTCCGAGCCGGGCCTAGCTCGGGCTTTTTCCGAGCCGAGCCCAAGCCTCCTGAACCGATGAGCTCTATTGTCATCACTAGGTCTACCTTTCTCTCTAATGTATGGAATGAAGCCAAAATTCAAGTGGCAGGCAAGTAGCGGCATGGTAAGCCCAAATGCTATCTGAAAGGGTTCATCAAAATTTGTTCAACCTCGGCCCTGAAATTAACAATCCATTATTTCATTCTTTCTTCTTTTGTTTTTAACCAAAAACAATTAATTCTTGGATTTTATTTACATTCAAGAAATGAGAAATAACTACGAATAAAGAAAAGATAGTCACTATCAAAGAAGCTTCAAGAAAGTAACAAAAAGTTGAAAAATGGAATATATTATTAGAATAAATAATCATTTAACTGTCCGGCTCTAGGAATATTCTCCATTAATGAAACCATTTTAAGTTAGTCACATACTAAAAATTAAAATACAAAAATAGAATTTTTTATGTTGATCCCAAAAACAGAACTCAATAGATACTGGACTCACTCTTGCCATGTCAAGTACGGATCCAGCCCTTTTTACCGAAATAAGAACGGTAATCCAACAGTAGTGAACGTGTGAAGCACTTTCCAGCAAGAGACGTAAATGTTAAGGTCCCGACGATATGATTAGAGGACAATCACACTCTCAATGATCTCCTTTTAATCAAAATGATAATAAAATATGGAAGGATAGATACGATGAGTAGATGAGTTCTCTCATTTTCAATAAGGGTTTAAGTGTTTGTATGAATGTGTGTTTTTCTATCAGTTGCATTCATTCATCGTCCCCCTTTTTATACAGAGAGTGACTATTTATATTGTTCTAGCAGACGTGATGATCGTCTGATCAAGTTCACGTGGCGACATCTCCTAAACCGAAGCTTCACGTCACTGTCCATTCATTACATTTAATGTTTGACTAAAGGTCAACCTTTCTAGTAATAGGCTGACATTGATTAAAACTACAGACATTTTACTGCAGACGTCATATCAATCAATCCAAAAAGATCTTCGAATATGTTGTGAGGCAGTGTCGACTTTATGAGCCTCGGACGAGCCTGAAAGAACCTCACATTAGGTTGTGCCTCGTCTTTGAAGAAGTGCTTCAGGTTGAGGCTTGTTAGTGCGACAACTTATGATGTTGGGTTAAGACCTCGGCCTATTTCCTCACTCGGACTTCTGACCTATTGGCCATCCTCTTGACTCCCTGTTGACCGTTCACCACGTAGCTTTGTCTCTTTAGACCTCGAATTCGAGGGGTAACATTTTACATTTGATTTTCCAATTAGTTATTATGTGTGAAAATTCATTAAATATTTTATATTGCTTGCTTTAATAGCATTGTTATAAAAAATTTATTTTTGATACTTCCAACATATAAACTATATTATTTTTTTAATAAAATTAAAGCAATAATTACATAACTGCAAAAAATTGGCAACGTAAGTTTATAGTTTAGATTTCTCTTTCATTTTTGTAGTAAATATCTTAGATCAATTTTAATTTTAATTTTTTTGATGAGAAATCAATATTCACAAAATATGAAAAATAAGTATAAATTAAAATTAAAATAATAAAAATTAAGAAAAGAAATACAATTATATATAGAGCACAAGGAGAGAAGCGCAAAATTTATTGTATGGGGGAAGGTTTCTAAAAAATTTCTAATAATTTAGGACCCCAGTTTGATCCTCTCACTCAAAAAATCTTCCACCAATCACTTTCTAGCGAACATTTTAAATTAAAATGCCAACTTTTAGTTTTGAATTAAATAGAAGAGTAGCTTTCTAATGTTACATATTATACTAAAAAAATGTTAAAAGATTTAATCAATTCTCTAATGCAGTTAAGGTCTTTTGACTTGACACAATGTTCAATGTATAATCATGGTTCAAACTTAGTTTACAACTCGAGAACAAAGCCAAAGAAGAAGCTTAACCATGATTATGTGATGAAAGCAAGGTAAGGGATGTCAGTCTACTATAACCCTTATCCTTCATCGAAACTTGATACCGATTATGAAAAACATAGGAAAAATTATATTTTGATCGCATAAAAAGTCCAAATTGATGAAGTGACAATTCGAGAGAAGGTGGCATTTGTCTTTGTTGGAGATTTTTGATTTCCTATCTTGATGCTTTTTTCTGTCTTTATTATATTTGACCCCCATAAACAAACAACAAATTTTGGCATGACACTTGGTTTGATCTACTCTTTCATCTTTAATTCTTTACCTAAGTTACTTCTTTGCAACTTGATCATCTTCAATACACCAACTCCACAAGAAAAGCATATGTAATATCAGCAAATCCATCTGCTTCACAATTCTGTGTTTCACTTTCATGATTTCATCCCTGGTCTTTCTTGCCACTTGTTCGAATCTTTCAACATGAGCCGCGATTCCCTCGACAACCTCTGAAAATCTGTCTTCCCAGGGTGAATGGAAAAGGAGTTGCTTTTTCTGTTAGTTGAACCTGCTTGAGTGAAAAGTCGAGCACCTCGCTTCTTTCTTCTGTGGGAGCATTTTTACGTAGGTTTCCTTACCCAATCCTTGCCCAATATTCTGTTCTCATCTTAGGTTGTTCTCATAAACCTAGAATCCTTTATATCAATCTATGAGTGGGGAGAAGTCATTAACAATCATGGGACAGAACACTGAGAATCGTGTAGTTCCATTATCAGGAATGAAGGTACAAACACAATTTATATTTTCCTATAATTTTAGCATCTCAAAATAGTCATTCTGAATATCTGATAGTGATCTTCTAAACAGCTCGGGATCTAAAATCTTGATGTTATCTACTAACCTATGAACCAGGGAACGAAGGAAGATCTGAGAAAATCTTTATTCACTTCTGTTGCAAAATCAACAACAGAGAATGCCAGACCAAGCAGCATGGTAATTAAGGTAAGAGCAAAACTTCTGACCCTTTTGATGTTGTATCCAAGTAAAGGCATATCTAATTTCGTTTCGGTTTGGTCATTGTTTGAAATGAAACAGAAAGCTAATACAGTAATTCCAGCACACATAGTTGCAGAAGCTATATCAACACTCCATGGCCTTGACCTCAGATGGTCAGGACCAATAACCCCAACAGAAATGCAATATGTAGAACAATATGTCCTAGCTAAGTATCCCGAGTACTCGAATGCCCTTGTTGAAGGAGGAGAAAAGACTGACCTTTATGATCTTTGCATCAAAGAGAAGCTCTCAGAGCCCCAGCCAGACGACACGCGGAAATCACCCAGAGGTGTTTCCCGAGAAACATTTACACCTTACTCTGGAAGCAGCCTCCCTGATCTTGAGAAAACACAGTTGGAGCCATCAAGATTGCTCAATATCCTCACTAAGAAATCCTCTTTCCTCGGGAACTTCATCTCAATCCCTGAAATTCAAGCGCGAAACAAAGTTCTGAATCACTGTGGATTACCAGATGACGAGTATCTTGTTCTTTTCACTCAAAACTACAAGGAAGCAATGATGTTAGTTGGAGAGAGCTACCCATTCTTCAAGGGGAACTTTTATTTGACTATTATTGGGCAAGAAGCTGATTATGTAAGGGAATTCGCAAGTTATAAGGAATCAAGAGTGATCTTGGCACCAGAGACTTGGCTTGATTTGAGGATCAAGGGATCACAACTCAGCCAGTACTTCAGAAGAAAGTGCAAGCACACTCCCAAAGGACTATTTTCTTACCCGACTGAAGTGAACGGTACTCGATATTCTATGCATTGGATTTCAGAAGCCCATCGTAACTCGTGGCTAGTTCTGCTCGATGCAACTGCCTTGGTGGTGGGTGAAGATAAGCTGAATCTCACACTCCATAGGCCAGATTTCCTGCTATGCAGTCTTAATAATACAAGTGCTCATTCTTCAAAGATTACCTGCGTTTTAGTTAGGAGAAAATCCTTTGACATGTCCACAGCGTCAGCTCAAACACGCGAATAAATCTAAGTGTGAACCTGTGAGAGAATATACAAGTCTGCCGACATAGATAAGGGAAATGAAACTCGCACTTCATAAGGATATCAAGAAACAACTGCTGCTAATTTCCATCTATACCGCTTTTGAATCACATGATATTTCCTTCTTTTTGGACCTCATTTTTCAATTTATTGATAAAATAATCTTGCATAGTTCCCAAGGCTTAAAGAGCACATTTCATTTCTCAAGGTTACTAGATAATGATCAATCTGAACCAAAGATTATTGCTTAGAGGCCCCCATCTACAAGGCTGATTTAAAAGGTGAGCTCCCTTAACTCGTTTCTCTAGTTTCCGGCATTCTTGTTTGGTAATCAAAGTAAAATCAACATCTGGATTTCAGTAATCACATTAAGTCAGAACAAGGTCTAAACGAAACAAATAACTCTAGAACTTAGTAAAGATTGCTGAAACTTTTGTTGATTAGTTTTAGCCACTTCGGAGTTCAACTTATTCGGGCACAAAATATGTGCTCCCTGCTGCACTGAATCTGTCTGTGCCTTCTTCCAATAGGGAAAGATTATGCGCCAAAGAAAGAAGAAAAATAACCATTGTGGTTGAGGCATTATTACTCAATAATTGGAAATTATTAAACACACTTATTGATGTAGTAATCTTCTCGTGGCTCTTTCTGATTGCAACATCTTGCACAAAACCAGATGCTATTTAGAACAAGAAATTATCAATTAATCTAATCGATATCCTTTGAATTTTTGGGACGATTTTCAGCGTACTGACGGGTGCAGGAACAGATCTGATTTCAAATAACTGAATTTAGATTTTTTTTTCTCATGTTTCTAATTGGCTACAAGCTATCATTAGGAAGATAACAAAGGGATAGAAAAGGGTGCATTGATGTGTTGCATCTAATTCTTCCATATTGTACTAGCATGTATGGATGCCCCTCAAACTTCGATCAAAATCTTTTGTTGAGGGTCTGGGATGATGTTTTCTATTTGCAACTTGCCATGTGCTACTAGAGAGAGGAAAATTGGTTGCATGTCTGAGCTTGTGCATATGTCCAGTTTTGTTTGGGTGGGTGGGGGGATGATTTGATTTATTCTGAATTAATGAATTCAAACGCTAAGAGTAGGTAATTTGTTCCTTGTCTTTGTTTGTATCTCATCATATCACATTTTGATCTGCGAGATTTGAAAATCACAGTCAATACATAGGTGTAGGTCCGGGATAATCCTTTGTTCCAGAGCCCTGGAGCTATTTACCACCAGCCAATTGCGATATGGATGTCAATAAATCCACGAGTCTAGAAATCAAACGCATAGACGTGCAATTGCACTTTGTGCAGAAAGCTAACACATTAGCATCTTCAAGTCTATCTTTTTCAATTCTAAAGGATCTTTTCCATCCTGAAAGCATCACATGTACACAAACCTTTAAGCTCAGAGAAATGTAAAAGGATCTACTAAACTATGGTACACACGTACGCAGTACAATTGCATACCAATATTTGGATGTCTGTGAAGCTTGTTTGCTATGTTGAACTGTGTTGTCTCAATTGCCAAAGGTCCAAAGTATAATATCTTCCTAGACAACTGAAAGATAGTTTACATTGGTACAGGCTACAAAACCAAGAGATCTACGCTGAACAAACCATCGTCAAGGGTGTGAATCATTTAGTGGTTTATATTTAGTTTTCGTTAAGTTAAACTTCAACTGCAACAAACTTAAAAATCCAATAGAATTAACTAGAATCCATTTACAAGTACTTCCAGCAAAGCTAGCTCCATGAGTGTCCCCCTTCATTTGTAAGCAAAGGTACCATAGTTAACAGACCTCTAGAATTCCCAACAGTAACTAGCATTGTCTACCAAAATGGCTTTTCCAATAGGCAGAAAATTTTGAAAGATGATTCCATGTGATTTGGTTCAATTGAGATCTTAAACAAAGAGAATGTTATCAAATATTTGGAGTTTCATTTTGTAAATTATTACGATAATCTGATCCACAAGGACCATGATTGAGACTTGTTTGATCATCTTTCTTTGAGAAAGATGCGAAACTTTTCTACAGCTTCATTCTATTAGAATTTTCCCTACCTCAACACGTCTATTAGTGGTTTAGCAATCCTTCCAGAATTTCTCACGGATTTCGTATAATACCATTTCATATTGCAGGTATAACATGCATAATAACTTCTAAAATAACTTCAAAATTAATCAATCCTGTGCCCAAACTACAGTCTACATGAATATCAAGCTCAATCAATGACTTTCAAGTCATTAAATTAGAAGGCTTAAATCACCAAGATTCAAGAAGGTACTCTTCTCGTGTACTCCATTTAATTCGAACCTTTACTCATCTTTTAGTCCATAACATTTCATTCCTTCCCCACTTTTCCATAAGACAGTGTCAGCTTCCAAACCACTCTTTATTAAACCAGCTAGACCAGAGTATGGGTTCTCCCTTACACAAGAGGGTTCTACTCGTCCGACATCACTAAATGTTTTAAACATGTAAAAGATGAGGATTACCCAAGCCCTTCTACAAAAGAAACAGCGTAAAAAGCACCTGCCGAACCGAATTCTGAACTGCTTGGACTAACACCTCCCAAATTGTGAACTGCGTAGACTAATTAAACTAGGATAGAATTTACTCGAAGCCAAGTCGAACATATTCATCGCTGAACCAATACCACATTATTCAAAGAGAGGTTATACAAACTTCAAATTGCACTATAAAATCCACTTTAGACCAGTCAACAACAGGAACAAAATAAAGTATAACTAGCCTTGCAATAAACAAAACACTGGATACAACTATCTTGTAAAACAAAACTCAGAAACTCTCGTCTTTATCTGCTCACGAGTTATATTGACAATATAACATTTAGAACACGCTCTGGTGCTCCTTAAATCAATACTTAGTTCTTCCGTCACCCTCGGTGATCACATCTTTAAAGGCTCCCCCACTTGGGATCATAGGCAAGACATGTTCTTGATGAGGTACAATCACATCCAATAAATATGGCCCGGGTGTATCTAACATCTTCTGAATAGCAGCCCTGAGATCATCCTTATTTGTCACGCGCGCTGCAGGTATATCACAAGCCCCTGCAAACTTCAACATATCTGGGAAAATCTCCGACTCTTTGGATGGGTTTCCAAGATAGGTATGCGCCCTGTTAGCCTTGTAGAAGCGGTCTTCCCACTGAACCACCATGCCCAAATGCTGATTATTCAACAACATAATTTTAACAGGAAGGTTTTCCACCCTGACTGTAGCAAGCTCTTGAACATTCATGATGAAACTCCCATCACCATCAATATCAACAACAACACAATCTGGTCGTGCAACTGCAGCTCCAATTGCTGCAGGAAGTCCAAAACCCATAGCCCCCAAACCACCCGATGTCAACCACTGCCGAGGCCTATTGTACTTGTAAAATTGAGCAGACCACATTTGGTGCTGCCCAACACCAGTACTAATAATTGCATTCCCTCTTGTCAGCTCGTCGAGAAGCTGAATAGCATATTGTGGAGGAATGGCATCTTCAAATGTCTTGTAACTCAAAGGATACTTGATTTTCTGCTCCTTTAGTTCCTGTCTCCAGGCTGAAAAATCGAGCTTAACCTTACTTCCTCCCCCTTTCCCCTCTAATATCAAATTCAAACCCTGCAAAGCCAACTTAATATCTCCACAAATGGACACATGAGGTTGCTTGTTCTTTCCAATCTCAGCAGAATCAATATCAATGTGCACAATCTTTGCTCGGCTCGCGAAAGCCTCTAACTTCCCAGTCACACGATCATCAAACCGAACCCCAAAAGCAAGCAACAAATCACTCTTGTCCACTGCATAATTAGCATAAACAGTTCCATGCATTCCAAGCATTTGCAAGGATAGCTCCTCATCAGAGCAAGGATAAGAACCAAGACCCATCAAAGTACTGGCAACAGGAATCCCTGTTAAATCTACAAACCGCCTCAACTCTTCGCTTGAATTCAAACACCCACCACCTACGTAGAGGACGGGCTTTTTTGACTCAGTTATTAACCTCACTATTTGCTCTAACAACATCTCACTTGGGGGCCGTGGCAACCTAGACACATAACCAGCTAATCTCATTGGTTGGTCCCACTTAGGAACCACCATTTGCTGTTGTATATCCTTCGGGATGTCAATCAAAACTGGTCCAGGTCGGCCCGATTTAGCAATAAAAAATGCTTCTTTCACAATTCTAGGAATGTCCTCCACGTCTAAAACAAGATAATTATGCTTGGTAATGGATCGAGTCACCTCAACAATGGGCGTTTCCTGGAAGGCATCTGTGCCAATCATCCTCCGGGGAACCTGGCCGGTGATGGCTACGATTGGGACACTATCAAGCATAGCATCAGCCAATCCAGAAACCAAATTGGTAGCTCCGGGACCGGACGTGGCGATACAGACACCGGGGACTCCAGAAGCTCGAGCGTAACCTTCAGCCGCGAAAACCCCGCCCTGCTCATGGCGTGGGAGGACGTTTCGGATAATTTTAGACCGCGTGAGGGCCTGGTGGATCTCCATGGACGCACCACCAGGATATGCAAAAACGTCTGTCACGCCCTCCCGCTCAAGGGCCTCCACAAGGACATCAGAGCCTTTTCGGGGTTCATCAGGGGCATATCGGGAAATGTGGGTCTCTTGGTAAGCTTCTTTCCGTACGGGTGAAGAAACATTGGTGATTTGCAGACTGCACTTATGGCGGCAATTATGAGAGAGGAGGGGGACGGGGCTGGTAGGTCCTTGGGAATGGAACTGGATGGAAAATCTTGAAAGGATTTGTGACGATTTGGAGGAGGATGAATCAACAAAAGGGTGTCTGGAAATGGTGGAGGAAGTGGAGGACGGGGCGGCGGCCGCCATTTTTGACGGTGGAGAGAGATGGAAGGTTGTGGTGCTGGATCTAATGTTTAGGGTTGTAGAGTGAAGGAAATATTTGTGGACGAGACATTCAGTATTATCAGTACAAAACGTCCCTACAAAGTTCAAACTTTCATTAAAAAAAATAATCATTTTTAACAAATTTTTCAATAAAAAATTATGAAATAATGAATATACTCCATTGTATAAATAAAATAAAAATAAAAAATTAATTATAATCATACTCTCAATTTTTTTAAAAATGTACAAACGAGTTCCAAATAAATTATTAAAAAATTAGGAAATAAAAAACATACCTTTTTTTCCTCCTCCTTCCTCTTCCTCATCCTCCTCCTCCACCACACCAGTGTCGCCGCCACCACGTTGTACAGTAAACAATTAAACAAACACAACGAACTATGCAGTTTTAAAATTTTAAAGCAAACTCATTACCCATCGATTTTCAACTTCTATATGATTAACAATGTGATATATATGAGTCGTTTCTTCTCGAGGGCAATGTTTTCATATTTTTGTTTCGGTACAATATCATTCATATAAATCAAACAATAAGCACAGTCCCCACCCCAAACTCCTTTTTTAGTTGTACTTTGTATACAGCTACATAGTACCACAGTTTTCTCGAGACTTTCTTTCACTCTACACTCACTTTGAAAGAAATGGAAAAAATAAAAGCTTGTTTGGGAGGGATTTTTGGGAAAAGAATTGATTTTGAATAGTGATATAATATGAAATGTGTGGTTGAAAAAGATGAAAAAATTATTAATGTGATAGAAAATATTATTTTATTAAAGAATGTATAGTTGAAATTGAGAATTGATTTACTGTAAAAAAATCTAAATCCCTCCTAAACAAGACCTAAAAGAGTTTAGATTTTTAATGATAGTAGTTGTAGTGATTCTGGGTTTCTGTCGATTGTTAGTGGAAGTGAAGAAGAATGACTTGTCACTACTCACACAAATGTTAAGTGAGTTTTGAAGATCATTCTCACTGGTATGACTTGTCACTCAAATCGGTGTCAAAATCAAATGATAGCTTTATACTTATAACAATGTGATATGTGGATTTCTGATTAGACTCCCGATGAAATATGCCCGGATCATCGAGAATCGACCCGGGATTCTATCAGTTTTCAAAAAGAGAAAATTACCTCAAAACCTGCATTTGAAGATTATATTTCAAAAAACAGGGGATGAAGTTTTTTTTTTTTCACAAATCAGGTGATAAATTGAATTATTAATTGTAATTAATAAAAAATTAATCTAACATTTCTCCCAACCCCGATTATAATTCTCTTCCTTCTCTCTCTCTCTCTCTCTACCACCACCCAACCCCCAGTCTCTACCGTATCTTTCCGGCACCGCTGCTCGTGGCGGAGCAATACAACTACAACCAAATCAATTGGCAGCCGTGGGAATCCTAGATCCAAGGCTGTATCAAGATCTTCTAAGGCCGGTCTCCAATTCCCGTCGGCCGTGTCGCCAGTTTCCTAAAAAAGGATCGTTATGCAGAACGAGTCGGATCCGGTTCACCTGTTTACCTCTGCGCTGTTCTTGAATACATCGCTGCAAAGTTATTGGAGCTTGCTGGGAATGGTGCAAGAGATAACAAGAAGAATCGAATTATTCCAAGGCACATCCAGTTGGCAGTGAGGAATGATGAGGAGTTGAGCAAGTTGTTGGGTTCGGTGACAATTGCGAATGGTGGTGTTCTGCCCAATATTCATCAAACACTTCTGGTGAAGAAGACTAGTGGGAAGGGTGAAATTGGGTCTACTTCACAAGAATTTTAGGGCTTTAGTTTTGAAATTTCTAATTATTTGGCTATTTGAGCCAATATGAATGAAAATTTATGATGAATACTAAATCCGATAGTAATCAAACGAAATACTTCCAAGGTATTGAAAGTAAGAATTTTTATATTTTAAGGTATAATTGTCCTATTTCTTACTCGATTTTTAATGAAAATTTATGACTAATTCTTCTCCACTTTTAATTAAGATTTAATAAAATAAATAATTAAATACAACATCTATTTTTGTGTAGTGAAACATACTTGATGCAGTTCATATTGACTATTGACTATTAAGGTTCAATAATTTTACTTCTTAATTTATTTTCTCAAATTTCTAATTATTTGGCTATTTGAGCCAATATGAATGAAAATTTATGATGAATACTAAATCCGATAGTAATCAAACGAAATACTTCCAAGGTATTGAAAGTAAGAATTTATATATTTTAAGGTATAATTGTCCTATTTATTACTCGATTTTTAATGAAAATTTACTCTTCCAACTCATTTTCTCCTATAGTATAATTTATCAAGTTGAGATTTATCACAAAAGTCGGAACTTACATCTAACAGAATGAACTGGTTAGAGGCCAGGTCGTATTGCGACTCTGCAGTTATTGCTTCCACTTTAGGATACATTTTCTTGAAGTAGAAATGTTCGTTGTTCTTTAAATGAATTTATTAATGTTTAAGAGTTTGATTAATTAACCGAAGTAGATGAAGGGCCCCAAGTGTCTATTTTGGACCACACATACCCATTTTTTTATTAGGTTAGGAAAATGATTAGCGCATCGATATTTCAGTGTGTGGCATATAATTCCCAACTTATGATAAAAAAAATAATTCGAACTTCAACGAAGATTTGGTTCATTTAATATACACACGGTATACGTATTTTTAACTACAATTAACAATATTGAATATTGTACCACCAAATGAAAAAAATAAAAAATAAAATATGGGCCCAGCCCATTTTATGTCAGTCTACACTTTGATACTATATTCAAAGGCCCAAATCAGTTATTGACAGCCCACTATTAACGCGCTGTAGAATCCTTGTTCTTTCTATTTACTTTTGTGCTTAAAATCAACAAAAAATAATAGGGTGTTTTTGACACCCATTTTTTGGAGAATAGAACTTTTGGAATAATGATTGATGGGAGAATGTGTGGTGAAAAAGTTATGAAAAATTTTAGATTTGTGCGTAATATTATTTTATTGAGAAAATGTGTGGTTGAAATGAAGAAAGATAAAAAAATGAGAATGAGATTAGAATGGAAAGTACGGTTGGTTACATGCTAAGACCCTGTTTGAGCCAAATTATTGTAGAATGAGAATGAAAAAAGGAAAAATTCATAAATGAGGTTTATACTTTACACCAATTCAAAAATCAGGTTTATAGTTTGAAAATTCAAAAATCAGTTTTTTTATTTTTTATTTATGAAATAATAAATTACTAAATATTTAATTTTAATATAATATAATTAACCCATCTCACTTGCACCACACATACCGCTCCGGGGATTATTTCGACGACTGCTCCGATTCCGACAATTATTCCGGCGACTATTCCGACGACCATTCTAGTCACAAATTTATAATTTACGGTCATAGTTCAAAAATTTTACAGGTCACAATTAATTCGTTGGTCACAGATTTCAAAATTAGTGGGTCACAGGTCAAAATTTATAAGTCACACAGTTACAGATTTTCAAATTAATTGGTCACAGATTTTTTACGGTCACAAATTATATAATTTTTAAGTCACGGATAAAAAAATAGTTGGTCACAGATTATATTTTTAGTCACAGATTATAAAATTTTATGATCACATATTATATTTTTAGTCATAGAAAATCAAAAACACCAGATCCTCCGCCGCACCGCTGTCGACTGCCACCACTATTGTCAACCCACCACACACCACATCAAGTGAATACCACCACCGCCGCACCCACGACACGCACTATCTCACGGCATCGATCTGAAAAAAGTTTCCAAACTCCTAGATCCAATCTAGGACAACCTCCACCACCAACCACTGATATATTAGGGCATGTTTTCACCAACAACAACCTCCACCACCAATCTGCATGGAATTTGCTCCCACCCTCTCAGACCGCTTATCTATAAAACTCACCGGGTGACCTCCGAGTTCTCTTCAACGTTTTGACTGAGCTCTTTCAATGGAGGTCCAAAGTCAGACTCTCACAACCTTCGATATCGATGCTTCACATTTTTCTTCCACTCCCATAAACAACTTGGAGATTTCCAATGCCGAGGTCCAGTGCCCCGACATGCCTGGCTTTTCAAATGAAGCTCCGAAAAGGAGTGACGTTGAATCACAGGCCTCCAGTCGACGAGAATGCAAGGATGGACGCAGTGGAATGGCGATAGGCGGAAGAGAATGGAAAGGCTCTTTATCAGCTGGAGCTCTGATGAACCCTGGCGGTGCTCCGAAAACATGCCCTAAGACTGCCTCCACGTAGAGAGAGAGAGAGGGGAGAGGGAGGAGAAGTGACGGAAGAGAGAGAGAGAGGGGGTAGCGAGAGAAAAAATAAATTAGGGTTGGTGTGAATTATTAGTATTATAATATTATTTAAATATTCAAATGATATCTGATTTTTGAATATACAAATTATGGACCTGATTTCTAAAAAGGTATCTTTAAATACCTGATTTTTTGTAATTTCTCAGTGAAAAATATAGTCGTTATTGAGCCCACATAAGAAATAGAAAATTGGAATTTAAATGTTGATGTAATCGATAACGGTCATATTTTTCATTTTAATGAGATAATAATGTAAATTAAACGGGGGCTAAATTAATAGGGGCTAACTTTTTTTCCTTAGACATTGCAAAAAAAAAAAGAAGAAAGAAAACGGAAAGTACGGTTGGTTACATGCTAGAATAAATGCTTTTGAACGGAAAAGATTCGGAGTCCTAAAAATGCAACAAACAGAATCAAATCAAGAAGTTGAAGGAGAAAAAAATAATAAATCAATGGTGGAAAGAGAGGAACGGTTCTTACTCTCGCACCCTGCCTCCATTATTTCCCTCCCTCCCTCTCTCTCTAAAGCCTTCTCAAATCCGGATTTCAGTCGGGGCTCCGATAGTCTTCTCACCGGCGTCGGATCAGATACGATCTAAAATGATCAAAATTCCGTACCTCACTGCCTTGACGACCCTCTTCAGCTACGGCCTCCTCTTTGTCTTCGGCCAATTACGTGACTTTTTTCGTAAAATAATTGATTGGTGGTCCCACAACAAGCTTCAGGTAACCGTATTAATAATATACTGTACAAATTATACGTTCATTTATATGCACACTTGTATTGGTATTTATATGGTATTATATCCTAAATAGTGCATTTATAGGTATACATTTAGATACGCGTGCTGAAGGGATAGAGTCCACATCCACGTATGCAAACATAAACAAACTTATAAAGTATTGAGTTACTTCTCATATAACGTGGACTTTTTAGGATGGACCCCAATTCTTAATATGGTATCATAATCCATTAAGTTCTAACGAGCAATTCGAGTCGATTAAAACTCCAAAAATGAGCATACGGATTTCAAGATTGGTATGCTCCAACGAGCCACCATCTTCCAGGGGCATGTTGAGGAATAGAATCCCATATCGAATAAAGATGTAAACATAAATCAATTTATAATGGATTGAGTTACTCCTTTTAATAATGTTACGTTTTAAGATGGAACCCAATTCTTAATACGTGCGTATACGGATACATCCATGTGTGTAGATGTATCTCTTGTAATTTGATTAAATTGAAATGCCATCGCGGTCCATAGCAATCTTCAGGTATCTATATCCTACGCAATACATTTGTGTATACTGTTGATGTAATTTGGTTTAATTGAAATGTTCTCGTGGTTTTTGTTATGGAAGGGTTATGCGCCGATCTGTTTGGGGCTCGAGGATTTCTACATTCGGCGATTGTATCTAAGGATTCAGGTTTTATTTTTAAACCATGACTTGCTTTTTTGTTTTTAGATTTTTCTCGTTTATGTGGATGAATTTGGTAATAATGTAAGCGTAATTCACCACGTAATTCTGTTTTTTCTTATTATGGTGGGGCTTTATATTTTACAGATGAAGTTGTAAGAATTGGATTTTTCAGATGTGGCTAGTGACTAGTCAGAAATGTAGCTTGTGAACTACAGTTCATAGTTCATGTAATTTGAAGGGATAATGTGTAAAGAAGAAAGAGGTAAAAGTAGTTAGTTTTCCTCTTAGGAAGGCAAAGTTGAATATTATATTAATAGCAATAGAAAAGTAATGCAAGATTTTCTGCATAAAACTAGAAGATTTAGATCAATTTGATTTTCGTTTTGATTTAAATCTCTATGGGGTTCGATTCATTTTCAAGCATATTGTTAGAGTAGTACAATGTGATGGCGAGAGATCATGAAGTGATCTAGTACGGATACATTATATATAAAGGAGTATGATTGACATTGCTTGATTTTGAATTCCTAAGTGGGATTTGCTCATAATCTGGACAATAATTAGCACAATTTATCAAAGCACCTTGTTCCTGATGCTCAAGTATTTTGTTTTTGATTTATTCCCCCTCCCCCTCCCTCCCTTTTGGCACTGGGTTAGTTCACAGGTTACTCATTAGAAAAAAGTGCCAAATTTAATGACTTTCTTACTATGCATTGAACTGTAAGATCCCTTGCTGCATCATCAAAAAGGTATATTACAGCATTCACATAATTAATGCCCACTTAATTCGTAGGATTGCTTTAACCGACCAATATCAAGCCCTCCTGATGCTTGGTTTGATGTGGTAGAGCGTATCTCCAACGACTACAATAAAACACTTAAGTAAGAATTTTTGTTCAAACTTACAACTAGTCTTTTGTAAATGTGTTTTCTTTATGCTAGGGCCTACTAGTGTTGTTGTTTACTGACTTTTATTGGCATCAGAATCTGACTAGGGCCTATGCATGCAAAGAGTTTTTAACTAAATCAAATAATATTTCTAACTTACAATCAAGGTTTCAACTTTCAACTTGATTTCCAAATCAGTTCATAATATTCTCCTAACTCAATGGTATCTCATGCAGGCGAACTACAAAAGTTAGCAGGTGCCTCAACCTGGGATCATATAATTATCTAGGGTTTGCTTCAGCAGATGAATACTGCACGCCACGTGTAATAGAGTCCTTGAAGAGATTTTCTCCAAGCACCTGCAGTACCAGGGTTGATGGAGGTAAACATGCTTCTTTGCAAGATAGGGCTATTATCCTTTTCTTCCGAAAGCATGACAGCTGCTGATGTTTCCTTTTAACAAATGGAACCATCTGTCAGGCACAACAGTCTTGCATGCCGAATTGGAGGAGTGTGTGGCGAATTTCGTTGGAAAGCCAGCTGCCTTAGTATTTGGCATGGGTTATGTAACAAATTCCGCAATTCTTCCTGTAATAACAGGGAAGGTACATCCAGTTACTTGGACTTGAATTCTCTGATATGTTTGCATTTGTTTATAGATCTCATGGACCTTTTCAGGGAGGTTTAATTATCAGTGATTCTCTGAACCATAACTCGATAGTCAATGGTGCTCGAGGATCTAGAGCCACGGTACGAGTTTTCCAACATAACAGTAAGTCTGAGGATTGATTCTTTTATTTATTTATTATTTTTTTTTTCTGAGCCAAACTATTGTCAAATGATATTTTGATTTATCTCATGCATACGATTATTCTGTCATTTTTTCTCTAGCACCACACCATTTGGAGAAAGTTCTGAGGGAGCAGATTGCTGAAGGACAGCCCAGAACGCACAGACCTTGGAAAAAAATATTTGTTGTGGTGGAGGGGATTTACAGCATGGAAGGGGAACTGTGCAAGCTCCCTGAGATTGTTGCCATATGCAAGAAATACAAGGTAGATATCTTTACAAAGATGATATCTCTTGTATGTTTACTAATATATTCTTTTATTGTGGATGATACGCATGTTCTAGAACTTGAGGCATGGAAAAAATTACAAGCTTTCTTGGCATAGAATTAGTCCCGGCAATTGCTTTGCCCTTGGTTTTATATTTGGCTTGCTTAATACGAATTTGTCTGGGATATTGGTAACATTGTCATCTAGTGTTTCCATTTGTTCATAAAAAAAGGAGAAATTTGAGATCTAAGCATTTAAGGTTTGCTAAACGGCTACTTAAGGATTTTACATTAATTTTTTGATTTGTTGCCTCTATCACGATTCGTTCTCCAGCTCTGATATTGGCTTATCTTCTCTTTCACATGTATAAAATTGAATTTCCTGTTGTAACAGGCATTTGTTTATCTGGATGAGGCTCACAGCATTGGCGCTGTTGGCCAGACTGGAAGGGGTGTCTGTGAGCTCCTAGGAGTTGATACTGCAGATGTGGATATCATGATGGGAACCTTTACTAAATCATTTGGATCATGTGGTGGTTATATTGCTGGATCCAAGGTTCGTTACATGAGCACCTCTTTGATATGTACCATTAAATGTCCAAGTTGACGGTCAAGGGAAGGTGCTGCTTGGCTTCGGTGCATTATTATTATTATTATTATTATTATTGCACTACAAGGCAACTTATCTAATAAAATCATTATGGATGAAGCAACTATACTTTCTAATATGCCTTAATATTTGATTTTTATGCATGAAGATGAGGTGAATACAAGATAAAATAATTGTAGCAAAGGACTGAGACCTGGGTTATAAAATGTTTATTTTGGGGAAGTGACTAGTTTTTCCAATACAACCTCAGAACATAATAATCTCGTTCATTATGAAAAGGACAAATTCCATAAAAAACGAAGTCAAATGGACACCAAATTTTCAACATTTTTTATGGAAAATTATACAAATCAAACACAATTAATTACAATTCCCAGTAAAACATTTTTTAAGAAAATCAATTCCCTGTAAAACATTTTCTTTCAATTCATTTTTCACCCTTGCAATCAAGCGGGCCTAACATAATTTATATGTTTGACAACGTTACAAGAAAACTCTGATTTTGGTTTCAGCAAGTTATGGTGTTCTGTATGCTTCGTTTTTAACATTTCATATCCATTTTTTCAGGAACTTATCAAGTACTTGAAGTACACCTGTCCAGCTCATCTTTATGCCACATCAATATCTCCTCCATCTGCTCAACAAATTATATCTTCCATTAAGGTTATTCTTGGAGAAGATGGTTCTAAAAGAGGTGGGAGTTTTTCTCTGCCATACCATTAATAAGATTGTCATAAAATAAATCCGACCGAAAGTATTTACTAACAGGTATACTGATTTTTTGTACAGGGGCTCAGAAACTAGCAAGAATTCGTGACAATGGCAATTTTTTCCGAGCTGAATTGCAGAAAATGGGTTTTGAGGTTTTAGGGGACAATGATTCCCCTGTAATGCCCATAATGCTCTACAATCCATCAAAAATTCCTGCTTTTTCACGGGAGTGTCTCAAACGGAATGTAAGCCTTTTTTGTTTTTGTCCCCTCTGGTCTCCCATCCTTTGTTTTGTTCCCGCCCGATTTTCCCACTTCCAACTCTGTGCGAAGCTTCCGGCCTGGTTGCTTCTTCCTATTTTTACTCCAATATTGCTTTCATTTGTCACGACTCATTTTGCTGTGTAGGTTGCTGTTGTGACGGTTGCTTTTCCAGCTACCCCTTTACTGTTGGCACGTGCACGGATATGCGTTTCTGCTGCTCATTCTAGGGAAGACCTTATTAAAGCTTTAGAGGTTAGAACCTTTTCTTCTAGTTGTCAGTTTCCTCGTTCCTTACTCTGCTCTTCTACCTTTCTATTCCTTAATCACTCCAAATACTAATATGGGACCTGAGATGTGCCTGATCAACCTATCTTACGTCTTCCTTGTACAATTATCTGATGATGTATCTTCATCGGATCGCCTTACCACCACCTCGATTTGTTCCATCAGCAATTGATGCGCTAATTTTTTGAAATTTCTGCCAACATTATGATGCTATGCAAAGAAATTACATTCTTCATTGTGCTTGTATATGTAACACACGGAATGAAGTTGCAGATTGGCATATTGGCTTGGTTTATTTTTTTGTGCACGCATGTTTTCAGGTGTGTAGTATCACTAACGTGTAAATAAAATTTGCAATTGTACCAGGTTATCAGCACTGTCGGCGATCTAGTTGGCATCAAATACTTCCCTGCTGAGCCTGAAAAACAGGAAAGCCGAATCAAGTTCGAGTAAGGAGATATTTTATTTTAGTTGAAATTTCACGTCTTCAGAAGTTGGTTTGGAGTGGATAGTATTTTATTTGTTGGTGTGAATAGAAATTTATTTATCTTTTTACTGCAAAATATGTATTTTGTATGTAAAACATTCTCACCGTGAATTCATATTTGGTTCTTACTGAAATTGATCAGTGTCCCTCAGATTTACGAGTTTTCCTTTCGCTTTGGAGGGTATTTTCAATCATCATATGCTGCTCAAAAGTTGCCAAAACAGCTATTCAATACACTGCGTCATGAACCTCAAATAGCATTGCATACTTTCCTAATCCCAATTGATTTAACCAAATCCTCACTCCATCACTATCCTTATCTATTTCTCCTTGCCCCACCGCCCCTTTCATTTCATTCGAATCCCGAGCCACTCTCAGCCTCCTCCTCCCGTCAAAATCCACATTGTCACAGTCACAACTTACTCTGTTATTTCCTTTGTCATAAATCAAGTTACACCAGCTAGGTGGATCCGAATTCCTATGGATCTTATCATCGCCGCCCGAATTCTTTTCTTCATTACCCCCTTTTGATTTCCGCGCTCACCACCGCTAGCTAATTGACATTTTCTTTGACTTCATTTCCACAAGACTTCACAGAAACACGTTTATTAGATCTGGAGGGTCTAATTCTCTTTGTTCTAGCTTTCGATTTCAAATTCCTCCTACTCCCAGCCACCGCATTTTCATCATCAAAATCCATGATCATCTCTTTTTCTTCTTCATTACTACTGCAGCTCACAAAGCTATTCTTTCTAGTTTACGAAGTATAGTTTTTACCTGTCGCCTTTTTCTCAGTCCTACATCTTTCTTGATGGGCACCCATTGCTGCGGCTGCTTGCGGGACATGCAATTTCTGGGTTTGTCGTCGTAGGGCTTGTGCAATCTCACGCTGGGATTATCTTGAAAATAATTTGAAATGTTATCACCACTGTTGTTTGAATCACTTCCTTTACTAAACCAATTTGACACAAAGACATAATTGAACAGTAATAAAAAAAATAGTAATCTTACTATTGAGAACAGAATACTACATGCAAATTGATGCAGTGCAAAACTTACAACGGGACCACCTAAACGCCTACTCCGACAACACGACTAACCAACACTTCAATAGACATCCATGCCTTACACCAACTTAACATTTGACACTATGCGGACAATAGTTTGACACTATTATCTCTCTCACTACTCTCTTATGGCTCTGATAGCAAAGGAGGCACAGGTTAGATGAGAGGGACAGGAGAAGTAGATGTTGATAGAAACAATTAATTTATTATTTTGAAATTTTTGAAATTACAATATAAAAATTGAAATTCGAGATTGAAAATTACAATTGAAAAAAGAAAGTTTAAAAATTATAAGAATAATTTAAAAACTTTCTTGAAGTGTACTATCTTTCGCTCTATTACACTTACAGAGCTTCTATTTTGAGTCTTCTTTTACACTTGAAATTTTGAGCACGGGCTTGAAACTAATTTAATTTTGATGAAGAAATCTTGAAAAGTAATCAACCATTCTTGATATGAAAAGACAATCACTCGTCTTTGTCTTCCAACCACTATGAAAATTGCACCTATCTTCTGATAATAGCGCACCATCTTTTGACAATTGAACCACACTTTTTATGGTAAACTAGGAGTCACTTTAAAAAATAACCTTTTCTTTAAGTTAAGCAGGATATTATTATTGGGACAGTTTTATTCAAAAGATTTTTCGGCACATATATGTTTTGCATAGTCAAACCTTTGGTCCTGGTCTTTCACAAACACGTTATTTAGGCTGAGATAAACAAGTACTAAATGTCTATACCATGTGATTTTGTTGAAACTCCAGCATAGACTATGACGAGCAGAAGGTTATACGAGGATCAAATATTTAGAACAAATTTGAATAAGCAATCCCAGAAAAAGGTAAATGTCGTTATCTAATTATCTAATTTTATTGACTTTGTTTGAAGGAATGGAGATAAGTGAACTATGCTTCTTATATTTTGTTTGGCCTCTGCAATCGCATATCAATAACATAGCAATTAAAACTCTCTTGAGTAAAATTAATTCAATGAAATAGATTTTTCTTATGGTAGGTTTGTCGAAATTCTACGTCTACGTGACTATACTTTCATAAATGAAACGTGTGATTTTTCTTATGATTAATTGTTGATTTTGACTTAAAATTAAAATCTAAATTATAATTTCTACTGAACATAGGGCATAATCAATTTTTTTTTTTCATTATACTAAATTTATAGCAGTATTAAACAAGGTCTAAATATGTATTGAATAAGAGTAAGTATAATACGGTTTGATTCGATTTCATCGACAATTAAATTGAATTATTTACAAATGAAATTTTCATACGTGGTATAAACAGTTCCATTTATAGTGATGAAATCGAGTAGGATCAAAATCAATTGATATCTGTCTGATCCAACTTGAATCCGTTCAAGTGTAAATTGTTGTTTAAAATTACTCATTTCACTTCATTCTTTCAATTTCCAAGTGACATATATGTTTATTATTCTAAATATGTGCAATTTCTTATAAATTAGTTTAAGGATTGACTTAAATGTGACTATATAACCCGAACTATGGTGTGAACAAGAGCGAGTTTCAACTCTAAAAACTAAAATAGTTAAAATTTAAAAGAAAAAAAATTCAAGATGGGGCAATATGTAATTTATCAAAAATGATATGCTAAAATTGTAAATTTCAGAAAAGTACAATCCGATCTTCAGAAGGGAAGGGATCATTACAGACTTCCGATAATTGTTTTTCGTTCTAGATCTTCCCATTTCTCTTCTCTCCATCTCTCTAATTTATATTTCTGCAATTTGAACAATCAATCAATCAATCGGAGTGAGTAATAATGGCGACTCGGTACTGGGCTGTGTCTCTACCCGTGGCGCGAGGCTCCTCCGCATCCGCCCTCTGGAGTCGCCTCCAGGAATCCATCTCCAAAAATGCATTCGACACACCCCTTTACAGAGTAATATTATGTAGAATTATATAATTTCATGTACCCCTATTTATATATTTCCGAAGTTTTCTTTTTATGATTTCTATTTTGCTAATTATTGTGATTTTAATGAATTTTGCAGTTTAACATTCCGAATCTTCGGGTGGGCACGCTAGATTCTCTATTGGCACTAAGCGATGACCTTTTGAAGGTTAGTTATTTTGCGTTTTCAAATTTTTGTATTCTGGAATTTCAGCTGATTTTTATTACATTTTAGAGTAGTTTGAGAAGGACTTTTTTAAAAATCTGAAACTTCATTTTTATATGACAGTCGAACAACTTTATTGAAGGGGTGTCTCAAAAAATTCGGAGACAGATCGAGGATTTAGAGAGGGTTTCGGGTGTGATGAGTAGCTCTCTCACAGTTGATGGGGTGCCTGTTGACTCTTATCTCACTAGGTAAATCTTCACGCTTACTTGTTTATGAATTTTTTTTTAATTTTTAATTTCTTTTTGGAGTAATTGAATTTGGTGAAATTCTGTGACCTTAGATTTGTCTGGGATGAAGCAAAATATCCGACAATGTCTCCACTTAGGGAGATTGTGGATGGCATTCATGTACAAATTGCCAAGATTGAGGATGATCTCAAGGTATATTTATTTCCCATTTATTATTTTATATTTTTTAAAAGTTGACTGTGGATGTTGTCATGATGTTTCTGAGTTCTGGAATGTAAATTTGTATAAGTGCTTTCCAATTGTGATAAATGTGTGACTTAGAGCATGTTCGGGGTAGTTTATTCTAAAAAATAAGCTCTATTATGTGACGTTGTTATAATGTCATTAGCTAAGGAGTGTAGAAACTATTTTTTATCAGCTTATCTACAGAATGATTCTGCATTTTCACAATAAGTACAAGAGACAAGTCTCTATATCTTACTTTGGTTTTGTACACGAATGTAGTCACCAATACTCCAGCCAACTTAGGTTGATGCAAGCCAATATAATGGGAACAATGAAGTATCTTCTTCCACTAATCTCAAGCAGCAGAATACGATCGGTTCCTTTTAAATGCTCCATTAACTAACTTGTAAATAATTGTTTCATGCATGCTCTCATTATCATCAATACTTCACTTTTTCCACTGCTTAGCAACCTTGTATTTTTCACTCAATTCAGCCTTGTTTTATTTGATCTTTTCTTCTTCTAAACTTATGTTGTTCTTCCAGCCATGCATGCTGTTCAAGGTAGATGCATGGCTTGTAAATCTCGGTGACTTTTTTGTGGAAACTCTTTCTTGATATGTTACTTATCAGGCTTGTAAATTGTAATGGCTCAGGTTCGTGTTGCTGAATATAGCAATGTGCGCAGCCAACTAAATGCCATAAACCGGAAGCAAGCTGGAAGGTATTACTATGTATTTTTTGAGATTATATAACTCATTCAATTTAAGCAAATATATTCTGAGCGTGCTTATGTTTTATGAAATTAATAGCAGGTTGTCTTACAAATATAATTTACATTGTAAATGCTATAATTAGTAGACAAAAATTGCCCCATACATCTATATAGTATATAATTTTATCATAATTTGTTGCCATAATTTCTTATGCAGCCTGGCTGTTCGTGACCTGTCCAATTTGGTGAAGCCACAAGATATTATTACTTCAGAACATTTGACAACCCTACTTGCAGTTGTTCCAAAGTATTCACAAAAAGATTGGCTATCAGGCTACGAGGGACTCACATCTTATGTAGTAAGAACTCCATTTTCTATATCTTCTGCTACCAATTTACTCTTTCACTCCTGCCCTGTATGATATCGCTTCTACATGTCAGCTCTCAATGCCGCTTCAATTTTGAATTGGTGATACACTGAATGTAGTAAAGATGCATCAATTCTGCATTATTCTAAGTGATACTAGTACTGACTAACGCAATTACATTAAATGCTGTTTTTGTCTGTCCAATGAAGAATTGTTGTTTCTTCTATAAATTCTACTTTTTGATCAAACTAATGTTTTAGGTCCCCAGATCCTCCAAGAAGCTACACGAGGACAATGAATATGCTCTATATACTGTAACGTTATTCAAACGTGATGCCGACAATTTTAGAAACAAGGCACGAGAAAGAGATTTCCAAGTGAGTGGGTTATACAGTATTCATGGTCATGAGAACTATTGTATCTCTCTCTGTTTTTTTTTTTTTTGAGAGTATATTATGTAATTGAATGGAGAAATAGTTTATGTAGGTAACAGTAATTAGCGATTTTGGATGAAGTCCTGATGAAACATTTGTTGTTTTGTGATATAGATTCGTGAATTTGAATATAATCCCGAAACACAAGAAACCCGGAAGCAGGAGCTTGAAAAACTTGCACAAGACCAGGAAACATTAAAAAGCTCTCTGTTGCAGTGGTGCTATACCAGTTATGGAGAGGTACTCTCTCTTTGCTCTGGAAGTTCTAAGATTTTGTCATCACTTCCAATTTTTTAAACCATTTTTACTACATTTTGAACCTTGGTTGAACTACATTTTCATTATAACCGAAGAAAAAATGGATTGTGCTCTAGGATTTTAGAAGTATTTCCATTGGCGTTTTATCTTTTTCTGGAAGTATATTGAAGTTGTTTATGATCTTACAACTGATGGAAGGTTGGTTCCTGGTTAAATACAACTCATCTAATGTTTTGCTAACCGTGTCTAACTAATATTTTAACAAAATGTGGCACATTTGATCTTCAGATATGGCTAAACTTGTAAGTAGTCAAAGCACTCTCCTTTTAGGTCCCATTACGTTTGTAGACAGATGAGCAGGTTTGGTTATCTGTAGACTGCACTTTCTAGAGCTGTGAATCAAATTTGAAACTGACGTACCCCTGTTTACGTAGTTTGTTTTCTTCTTTATTTGTCATTTCCTTGCGCTCTTCAATTCTTTTCTAGGTAGTTTTTTTGTTTAAATTTTTTTAATCTCTATCGTGGATTCTGTTGGAAGAGAGGCCTTATTGAATTCATTCATTGCAAGCTTAATTGTCTGTAAAGCTGTTATTTCTTGTTAGCGAATAACAAGGATTATGTAATCGACGAACGATACCACTTGTTAATAGTGAGCAAGATGAATGACACAATTTGAAATAGCGATCACAATATAAAAACACAATAATATGGTGGATGAACAAAGATTTTATTAATAATTGAGAGAAATACAAAGTATATTATGAGTTTGTTTGGGAGGGATTAAAATCAGATTAAAATTGAAAATATAGCCGTTATTATTGACTTTTATTACACGAGTGGGACCCAATAACGGCCATATTTTCAATTTTAATTGGATTTTAATCCCTCCCGAACGGGGCCTATGTATCTAATACAATTCTAACTCTCTCGAAGTTATATGAAAGCCATACAAGTTGTCGACTATATATAGGACCTAAAAGAATATGTTATGGTTGTAAAGAGAACAAAAAACGAGCCAAAAATGAGGAAACAACTTTTTTTCGAATAACACTGCTGCTTGAGTGATAGACGAGCGCCAGGCGAGCGGCAGACCGATGCTTCCAATGGTGCCTCAGTGCTGAGTTTCGGTAAATAATTCAATTTTTCATCCCAATTGGCCCCTGGGCGCCCAGTTGTTGCTCCAAACTTCAATTGACAACTTTAATCCCTCTTTAACTCTTTTTTCAACCAACACACAAAATCAACGTGGGAATTTGAGTCACATATTCAACATTTCTAATGGAGAATAACTTTGACAATTAACTTATGAGTAGAAAAGATCTCAGCTGGGGTGTTGAGAGCAATACTAGAGGATTAAATCATTCCACTTGCAAACATAAATTTCTTACAAAATACAAAAATTCATCTGTTTTTTATTTGCTTACTTGTCTTGGAGGTACTTAACAATCTTCTTTCTTGGTTTAAAACCTATTTGGACACTGAGCTTATGGGTATTGCAGGCCACCAAACTTATTCTCTTACAAAATTAGCAGTGAGCTTCCAATTTTTTACCCCATTAGTCACTACACAACTCTTGTTTTTGAAAAAGAAAGAACTTGCACATGGCGAATGGAAATTCTGTGTGGAATAATTTTAGACGTTAAGCGGGAATAGTTTGCCACATAGAATAAGTTATTATTGTTAAAATTGAACGTGTTTTGCCGATTTACAACAAAAAACATGTTTTGTAGCCCATTGAACTAAAATCAGATTTTGGGGAATAAAATACATAAAACGAAGTTCCATTTGCACGTGCAAGTTCTAGTCCAATTTATCTTCTGAAATTATTTCACATAAAATTTCCACCATGTGCAAGCTCCGTTACTTTTTAGGACGGAGTTTAAGTATAGTGACTAACGAGGTATAGAACTTTAGTACTGACTTCGTAAGAAAATTAAGTTCGGGCTGCTAAAATTGGGTCACACCCATAAGTTCAGTGCCCAAATAGGTTTTAACCCCTTTTTTAAGAAGTTGATTATGAAAAGTCATTTAGAGAGAATGCCTCCTTCTAGAGGTACATGGGGGCACCAAATTTTCTTTTATACCATAAAATTGCTTGATATAATTATAGAATTTATTGATGAATATGCAAAAAATAAGTATATCAACTATCATTTCAAATAAGAAACTTCTTTGGGTTTCAGTATACTTCCCTTTAAAATTCACCTCTTGGCCCCTTCTGGAAAACTAAAGAAAAACAGATCTCAATACCTTGAATTTCATAATTTTTTATTTAAAAAGTTTATGTTATTTATGATCACCTTTGAGTATCTTCCATATTTGTAACCACCCCTTAATGATGGCAAGAATCCTGGAGAAATGTTTATTAGGCATCCATATTCCTAGGTGTCTACAATAACCATCTTATTTTGTCTTAGATTAGTTCCATTCAGTTCTGAACATCACATACAATACAGGGCTATGTACTGCTTTCACAATATGAACCATGCTGAATAATTGTATGATTGGGATCTATTGCATTAACTAATAGTTCATTTTCTTGCATGTGAATTCTAGAATGTCTGTAAATTTTGGGTATTCAATGGAAAATTGTGGTTGCCTGATTGCCCTGCAGGTTTTTAGCTCCTGGATGCACTTCTGTGCAGTACGAGTCTTCACTGAAAGCATTCTGCGATATGGTCTGCCACCGTCGTTTTTGGTAATTAATATTACCCTTCCCTGAATAATTTCCTCCTGACCTTTTTTTTTTATATATATATCCTGTTATCTTCTGCGGTTACTTAAGCTGTGCTGAGAGAGAATGATGTTTTGTTTCAGTCTGTTGTGTTGTCACCATCCGTGAAAAGCGAGAAGAAAGTTCGTTCAATTCTCGAGGGACTGTGTGATAATTTAAACAGGTACTATCTTTGATTTCTTCTAAGCTTTTTTGTTCTTTCATGTACTCTAAGCAGCCTTTTATGATAATATCCCACAACTGTGATATCATGGATCAATGTTGCGAGTCTGATTCAAATAAGTAAGCCCTCTCCTAGGTGAATTTTTATGTCATGCAATGTGATTTATTGCACATCTATAGTGAGAAATGTCAATTTGTCTGTCCACAATAATTTAGTCATCTAGGATAGATTGGAAATAGTACTAATTTTCATTGACTGCATATAGTTTATTTTGCAACCAGAATAAAAGAATTTGGGATGTTAACTTCTTGCCATTGTATGAAGGATCGTGACAGAAAGCTCTTAAGGAATGACAAACAAATTTAAAGCTTTTTACATGTCATAAGTTGTATTACTGATAAATGAATTGAGTGTTCGGGATGAGGACTGGCATATTTAGTTCTCTTCTTCTTTAGTCTAATAGTATTTTCCTTCTAGTCACATCTTTGATGGTCCCTAGGATGCAAACTTTTGACAGAGTGTACTTATGTTAATATATTTTGTGTAACTGCAGCGCTTACTGGAAAAATGAGGAAGACGGAGGAGGGATGGGCGGCTTTGCAGTAGATGCTGATGCATATCCTTATGTCTCCTTCACAATAAATCTTATTTAAGCAGAGGTATGGCATTGCGCTGTTCATTTTCCCATTGGCGTGATTTTAGTGGTCTCCAAAAAAATAAGGACAGATGTGGCTTTTGTATAATAGAGTAAATTATTCAATTTGTTGCATTAAGTACACACTGCTTCCCAATCCTCCACTGCAAACTTTTGAGTCTGTAGATGTATTTCAAATTGTAGCAGTTTTCGTGATTTGTCCATTTATGTTTGGTCTTCCGTTGTGTTGGAGCCACAGCTTTAATGTATGGTCAGCCTTGAGTTCTTTAATAATATATTGGTTGATCCAAAGTAATGGTAGCATTTTACCCTTCCATATATATTTTTGGCTTCTCGTACTTGTGGCAGCATCTACTTGTGTAGCAAAGAATAGCAAGTAGAAAATAAATTGCCCATTATATTATGCAGTGCTACATACTGAAACTGAACATACTCGGAATGGACTTGATTATCTCATTTTGTTGGGTTATTGACATTCAACACAAACACCACACAATAGTCTGTATCTCCCACAAATACTATAGCACAATAACATAGGGGTTTGTAACTGATGAGGCTGAGATTTTATCTATATATTTGTCAACCTGTGATGGCCTTGCTGTGCACACGTAGTGATGTATTCAATGAATTTAAAATGAGGAATCACTGCAATGGTTGGTCTATAACAAACGATAATTTTATGGGAGAATTGCTGTCAATGTACCAAACCTTCCATTTAGTAGAAAACTCCTAATCTTTCATTTGTGCCACCGTAAGTACCAAACCTTTAAAAAATTCGCAGCTCGAGTCTAAAATGATAGTTTTTGTCAGTTTGACCTCAGAAACCGTTCGTTGACCTTAGAATTAAAAATTTAATAATTTTACCCAAATAAGACAAACATTATGGACATAACACATTTCCCCTATTAAATCAAAAATTAAAAAAACAAAAAAAAAATAAAAAATCACAACCCTCACCCATCTCCGTATCAACCAAAAACCAAAATCATCGCCCACGAGCAGGACGCAGTGGTAAAGTAGGAGGGTTCTCACGGAGTATCGAATGTTCGAATCGTCGCAGCAGCTGGAAGACAACATTTATGTTGGAAGTCAAATGTTGGAAGACAGATGTTCATATGGTGGAGAACCGTCGAATGTCCGGTTTAAGTGTGTATAAGTTGTGACCGCATCCGGATTAATTCGGTAGCGAACCAGAAGGGAATGCCGCCACTCCTCAGGATTAGTCGAACGAAACATGAACACTCGAGTCATAAAAAAAAAAAAAAAAACCAAAACCACCCACCTAGTGGACCTAAGTGGCAGTGTCGACGTCTACGCCTAAGTAGATAAGGTGCAAGAAGCATCTGGTGGACCTGATCGTCGACGCCTGAATCTCCTGCATCAGGGATCGACTGTTCTCCATTATACCGACACAAGAGCAAGCCCAGGCTCACAAACAGACCCAGGCTCGAGATTGAGAAGATCGTTTGAAATTTGATTCACGGCAATTCCGTCTTGCTTTTCCTCGGTCAGTATTGCCATATATATCTCGCCAGAAATTCGACATCACTGCTGCCATTGCTACATGTCAAATCCACTACCAACGGTTCTTCAGTACTGCCCAGGTTGGTCTTACTGGATCTATAGCAATTTTTGATGGTACCAGCAGCAAGAAGCGTGCAAATGAAAGATATTCTTCCTACTGGTTTATTTAGATCTAAATTGGTAAAAACCAACTTGAATTAGAGTCGGGTTTCGGGTCTGCGGATCAGGTCAATTGAATTCTCGGAATTCTTTTATGTGGGTTTTGAAAATTTTGAGAAAATTGAGCAATTTTGGCTAATCCCAGATGAGAACCAATTCCATTCTTGATGGAGGTGGAGCTTTGTTTTACTGGAGTCACCATAACCCAGATACTTTTGCATTTATAGTTCTTCTTGAAGATATCAATGGTCGGAGAATCTGGAGGTGGGTGTCCAAGAACGCTTACCTTCTCCATGCCAGATATCTAGAGTTTCTTTCTCTGTGCAGTTAAGTATTTGGATATATCATATATGTGAGTTTAAAAGTTGGTTTTGAAAGAAGTAAAATGTGTTTTTCCCTGTGCGCAAGGGAGTTGCAGGATTTGAAGTGGTGATGTTGCCTGATTTTGAAGTGATGTTGGGGTTGACGTTGCTCTTCTCGGAGTAATCAATGGTTGGAGAATATGGAGGTGGGTGTCCAAGAGCGCTGCCATTCTTCGTAGTCTTTCCGTGCCAGACATCTAGAGTTTCTCTCTGTGCAGTTGGATATTTGGGGATATTATATATGTGAGTGTAAAAGTTACTTTTGAAAGAAGTAAAATGTGTTTTTCCCTATGCGCAAGAGAGTTGCTGGTTTTGAGGTGGTGGTGGTGTCTAATTTTGAAGTAACATTGGGGTTGACGTTGAGGCGGTGGTGGTCAGCGACTAGGTGGATGGGGGTGGTTTTGGTTTTGAGGGAGGGGGTTGGGGTTTTTTCTTTTTTTTAAAAAAATAATTGATTTAATAGGAAAAATATGTTTTGTCCAGAATGCCCTAGCTTTATTTGGGGGAAATTATTAAATTTTTAATTCTAGGGTCAAGTGGTCAACTGACCGTTTCTGAGGTCAAACTGAAGGAAACTGTCATTTTGGACTTGAACTGCATACTTTTTAAAGATTTGGTACTTACGGTCACAAATGAAATATTTGGGTCAAATCTGCTAATAAATGAAATGTTTGGTAATTGACTGCAATTCTCCCTAATTTTATCTCCACCAAGTTTATCACCGATTTCAAGTCGATAAATCTTTCAAGGCAAAAAGATGAAGAAAATTTTGAATCAAATTTTATACTGGGCTATGGCCAATTGAGCTATTAAAAGGTTCGCCCCTGGGACTTGTCACCAAGTTATCACGTGGTAGATCATGTATTTATTGGCTATTAAAAGGTTCCACGTGCAAATTACTTAATGAAATCTACTCTAGGAATAGAGCCAAATGGACTATATCTCTTACAAATTGTGTTTTTGTCTAGTTGCAAAAATTGCATGGGATAGTATATGAAAAACCATCCAAAATCTTTTGTTTTGACCGTTTTCTTCGAGGTAAATCGGAACAAATCAAGTCATGTCCAACTCCATGTCATTTGAACTCGATTAACACGCACACAATGCTGCGCCCATTTCAACTTTATGACCGGTCGTCAAAAGAGAAAGGGAAGACTAAACTAAACATCAAGGGATAAAACGAGAGGCAAAATTATTGTCAAATACATTGAACTCGACTCAAACACTATCCCTGTATACTAGACCATATATCTATATGAATTGCTCTGCAGAGGAAGGAACAAAATCGTCCTCCAAAACATCAAACATAACTGCAAAATCTAAATATAACAATCAACCAAATACTACTATATATATTGTGTATAATACCTATCCGCATATCCATCCTAAACGTGTCTTTGGTCGTATGTGTACTGCAAAAATACTTCACTCAGAAGATGCATGAAGAAGAAAGAATGGATTTTTGCTTTCATTCATAAGCTTTCTGCTTTAGTTCTTTGCAGGAACAGGGCTTCCACCTCCGGTAGTAGGCCTGCAAGAATATTGGGTTTCAATTGTCATTATAAGCGGGAAATGGATAGTGTGTGTCAATTTTTTACTACCATGCTTGATAGAATGGATAAGATAATTCAGGACAGAATTATTGAAAAAAATGTCTTATACTAAACATTTCCTAAAGTAACTTTCTTAAACATGACAGATATTTGGCGGTTGGTTGGCGGGGGTGGGTGGGTGGGTGGGTTGTGGATAGTTCAATTTATTTATAGGAACGCTTGATGCAAATGGAGCTAGCGAAGGAAGAAGAAACTTACAGTCCAACGAAAATCTTGAAAGCATCATAGATGCCCCATTGAGCTCCAGTAAGGGTCCCAATCATGACTATACGAAGAGGAAGACCTTGGGTGCACAGACCCCATAAACCAAGCTTGTTCACAGCCTGAAAAATTTCGATTAAGAAAACATGTAACGAGAAATCATCAGGGAAAAAAAATGTGCTAATTTGATGAAGGGACTACGACTTCTGATACTCACATCTCCAACTGTTGCTCCCTTGGCATTGTTGAGGAATGACACCAAGTTATCAGCAGGGTGTGACACAATAGCACATAATACTCCAGCCACATAGCCACCGGCAAAACTAACACCAAGCTGCAATTCTTTGCTGCACTGCTCTTTCGGAGTCGGGATGGCACGTTTGTATATTTGTTCCACAATATTCTCGAAAGTCGCAAACTTCATCATTGTATCTGAAAGAAACCCAATGCCAGCATAATAATTTTTTAATATTTATTTATTTATTTATATTAAGACATACAAACAACATGAGCACATGTATTTACGTGCACGCTCCCACACACACACACACACCAGTCTAAAGCTCAGAAAAAATATGAAAGAGCAATGCTAAATTAGCTTACATGGAATTTGGCGTCCCCAAAGTGGAACAATCCCCTTGTAGAGTCTGTAATAGCACATTGTAAAAGTCTTTTTAACTTAATCAAAATTTGCAAACAAAAAATTTAAATTGCATGTTTGGTATACAGTATTAGATCATACTAGACAATATAATATAAAACTTTTCAACGTTTTCTTCTTATGTAATATTGTCTAGTATTATCTAATTCACCTTAACAAGGTGTCACAAAGGTAGAGGAATATAGAAATGAGCCGTAATCACATGTAAAGATAGTAAATACCCAGCAACCCCTTCAGCCCTAACAAACTTGGGAAGTCCATCAGACAAGCCTCTGGCAAAGCCGGGTTGAGTCTGGACACGAACCTTAACTGCCTCAAAGGGACAAAGGGCAATATCAGCAATGAATTCAGCTGATGCAGATCCTGCGAGGTAGATCAAGGTCTTATACTTGGCTGCATTCTCGGGACCAGCCATGTCGGAGTAGTACTTCTTGAAAAATTCGTAGAATCCTAACTTGCCAGCACCCTGCGCGCTGTA